AGGTTAATACACTGGTCTGCAAGGTTGGTATAAACTACAAGGTCAGTGGTTCAAGCTCACCAGCTGCAATGAGTCAGAACTGACTCAACAGCATTTAACAACAAATATATATATATATTTGTGTGTGTGTGTGTGTGTGTTTGTTAGGTGCCATCAAGTTGGTACCAACTCATAGCAACCCTATGCACAACAGAACTGAACAAAACACTGCCTGATCTTGGGCCAACTTCACAATCATTGTCCCGCTTGAGCCCATTAATGCTGCCACTATGCCAATCCATCTCGTTGGGGGTGTTCCTCTTTTTCTCCTCCAACCCTCCACTTTGCTAACCATGATATCCTTCTTCAGTGACTGGTCCTCATATAAAGAGAAGCCTTACATGTAGGATTCTATGGAAACAGAAACATTAATAGAATTCTCACAGAAGTAATTTGCAGCCTCTTCTTTACATAGTTGTTGTTGTTAAGTGGTATCAAGTTGATTCTATACTTAGTAAAATGGTTACAATTATTACAAAGGATAAAAAAGTCCAACTTACCATTTCTTTAAGAATTACAATTGGTGAAAATGCAGAATTCATGACATCATAAACATCAATTTGAAATAAAAATTTCAGAATCTGGAACTCGAAAGCACCTTCTGTTGATTTACAAATTTTTAAAAAATTAATTGACATTTGATATTATAATACAACTTTCTAATCTAATTTATTCCTTAATTGTCATATGAAAGAACAAATCATCTGCTTCTTACCTTTTTGAGAAGACAAAGAGTTGTCAGTTGAAAATATTTGACTGTTTACCAGAGCATTTTCCACAAATCCATTTTCTACCTGAGTATGCTCTTCAGTTATTAGTAGTGTTTTGGATTTTTCATCTTCAAAAGATGGAGTTTTGAAATGAACGTCTTCATGATTTCTCATTGGTACCTCTATTTTAGAGACAATATCTATAAATAAATAAAATTTTTGTGTGTGTTTTAATACTTGCTGTGTTGTGGGCTTCTCTTTAGTTTTCTAGGCAAATACTGGTGGGGAACTGTAGGATAACTACTGGACTACTAACCACAAGGTTGGCAGTTCAAACCCGTCAGCTGCTCCTTGGAAACCTTATACAGGGTCTCTATGAGTTGAAACTGACTAGATGGCCCTTATTAGCAACAATAACCACATGGTCATATGATACTTCATTAAAAAGCATATGGTAACATCTTGCTGATGTAACCAATGACCACAAACTTAGTTACTTAAACAATACAAATGCATTCTCTTACAGTTCTGGAGATCAAAATCCTAAAATCAAGGTGTTGGCAGAGTTTTGCTCCCTCTAAAGGCTCTCAAAGGAGAATCCATTTCCTTGCCTTTTCTGCCTTTTGAGACCACCTGCATTCCTTTGCTTATAGACCTATCACCCATCTTCAGAGAGAGCACTTCCAGCTCTGTCTCCTCCCCTGACACTCCTGTCTTCTCCCCTGACACTCCTGTCTTCTCTTTGAAGAAAATCTCTAATTATATTGTGTCTACTAGGAAAATCTAGGATCAATTCCTCATCTCAACCTCTTTAATTGCATTTTCAGTGTCCCTTATTTTGTGTAAGGTAGCATAGTAACAGGATCTGGGGATTAAGATATGAACATCTTTAGGGGGCTAGTAATTCAGCGTACCACAGAGACTGTCCTTATTTCTTCACAAAGGAAGAATCACAAGACCTGTGCACAATTCTATTCTCTATAATGCCTTTTGGCCTAAAAACTAAAAAAAAAAAAATCAAACTTCTTAATTGCCATCATAGTACATTGCTACAATTAATAAAAATAATAACTATCAACCCTTTTATACTATATAATTACTAACAATTAGATAATCAGATAACTTTGGGATTTCATCTCTGTTATATAAATTGATTATATCTATAATATCTAAATGCCATTAAAGAATATTTATCCTTACTTTTCAAGAAAATCAATGAGATGTGTTTCTTATTGTACATGTTAGAAAACCAAAAAGAGTCAAAATGACCAAAATAATTTAAAATATTAAATTATTTTAATTGTTAGTGGTAGTGGTAGTTAATTATATTTATTATAAAAAGATGAAAACTTTTTTGATTATTTGCACAAAGATAATATCAGAATTTAGAGAAAATAATTTCCAAATTCTAAAACCTAGTTCTCTGAATCACTGAAATCTATAATACATATTTGCTAATGGTGGTGATGGTGGTGGTGGTAGTGATGGTTGTGTGAACACAGCAACCCTATATATGGTTTCTGAGGCTGTAAATCTCTATGGGGGCAGAAAGCCTCATCTTTCTCCAGCAGAATGACTGGTAGATTATAACTGCCGACCTTGTGGTTAGCAGCCAAACTCATAACCCACTAAACTGCCAGGGCTCCTTATATTTGCTAATTTGTTGCTGTTGTTGCTACGTGCCGTCAAGTCTGTTATGACCCATAGGGACCCTGTATAGGGTTTCCAAGGAACAGCAGGTGAGCTCAGACCACTGACCTAGCAGTTTAAACCAACTTTGCAGTCCAGTACATTAACCCACAGCACCACACCCAGGATCATTCAGGCCCACTGCTAAATAAATCAGATTAGTTATTTGTATAGAAAGGTCTCAATTACTCTTAGGATATTTGAAACAACTTTGAAAATGAAAATATGTTAATCAAATGTCAGTCATTATTGAACTTGTTCTATTCTCCAGAACTTCACTAATTTCAATGTCCAACCTTTGTCACCTGTTTCATCACATGTCCAGTATTTTTATTATTCTACTTTATTCTACTCTATTATCCAGGGAGTATAATAAAAGAAACAATGAATGGTGTCTTTCTTAGATTCCACAATTGAATACTTCCTTTTATCAAGTGAAAACTTTAGCAGTAGACGTGATTTAGCAAATTTCTTATGAGTTAGTATTGACAGGATGTTTTGTATTTTAAAGCACATTATTTTATTTACTAATCTTGTAAATGATTAGCATGCTCAAATGATAACTTAAAAGTTAGAGATTCAAGTCCAACCAGAAGTGTCTCAGAAGAAAACCTAGTGATCTACTTTTCAAAACTCAGTCACTGAAAACCTGTAGGCACAGTCTTATTCTGATACTTAGGGTGATACTTAGTTGAAATTGACTTGAACACACTGTTTTGGGTTTTTTGTTTTTTGTTTTTTGATAAAACAAAAATAGATAATGCAAGTCCAAAATATATTTTTCATCCCATTATTTGTTGTTTTAAGAATGATGAAGTTTTTAAGAACCATTCGATTATTTGAGGGAGCCCTGGTAGTGCTGTAGGATAAGCACTGGACTGGTAACTGTAAGGTCAGTAGTTTAAACCCACCAGCTACTTGATGGGAGTAGACTTTCTACTCCCATAAAGATTTACAGCCCCAGAACCCTCACAAGGTTGTTGTGAGTTGGAATTGAGTCAGTGGCAGTGGGTTGATTGGTTGGTTGGTATCAAGCTATCTTAGAAAAGGTTCACAGCATGAATGACATTTTGTATGTTTGCTTAAGCTCAGTAGAGGACAAATAGTGAAATTATAAGTACAGGTAGTCCCCAGGTTATGAACATCCAATTTACATACATCCTATAATTAGGACCCCACCTCCATAAAATTTTGAGATATAAACATTGTAATAAAAAACAGCTACTTTGTGATGCATACCAAAACATTATTATTACTAGATTGTCATGTAAAGAAGTTTTAGTATATGTGGAAATGTTTCTGTAACTTTTGATGCATAGAAAAGTATAGTACATACTAAGACAAACATCTGACTTGTTGATGTTAGATACAAACTGTACCTAACTTTTCTAATTTATATGCAAATTTGATTTAGGAACTCCTTCATAATCCAGGGACTGCCTGTATAGTACAAAAATAACAACTACAAGATATCCTCATTCAGTTGTTAGTAAAACACATACTGCCATGGGCATACACAAAGGTGCCCTGGTGGTGCAATAGTTAAGCACTTAGCTACTAAAGGAAAGGCTGGCAGTTTGAATCCACCCAGCAGTGCTGTGGGAGAAAAACCTGGGAATGTGCCCCAGTAAAGTTTATAGCTTAGAAAATCCTATGGTGTCACCATGAGTTGAAAATCAACTCAGTGGCAACTAACAAGTATGCACAGCTAGATGCTTATTTTTCCTTTCAGACCCAATAGAAGCATGTTGTTGCTGTTGTTTAGTGCCATGGAATTGGTTCTGATTTATAACAGCCCTGTATAGGGCTTATGAGGAGCAGCTTGCAGTTCAAACCAAACTTGAGGTTGAGTGCTTATCCTCTGGAGCCACATAAGATGGTAGAATTGATACTAACTCGTATTTTGAATTTTATTTCCATGCTATGAATACGTCTGACAAAGGCAAAACTTCACATGATGCTAATGTTTCCCTCATTTGGTAAACTCATGAAATTTACAGATTGCTTCAGTAAAATGACTAAGTCAGAAATTGCTGAAAGGGAACTCAAACTACAACTGTTATCATTCTGCCTTTTTTTTTTTTTTTTTAACAGAAATCAGGTAAATTAACCTTGTCAGCTAAAAGTTCACATTATCCAACTGAGAATATGATCATGATTTTAGTGGAAAATGTTTAATTTTTCTCAATGAAAGAAAGCTAATAGACTTAAAAATTCCTGAATTTCAGCTTTTATGCTAAATACTAATTTTTAATGAAATGTAATCTTAACTCAAATTTTAACAAAAAAGATATATACCTCTCTTTAGAGTCTTAATTTTGAAAAGATTTATTCTCCAAAATTAACTTTTAAAATTCAAATCTGAAGCATGCACAGGTCAAAATTAGTTACAGTAGAATTACTGCATCGTATACTTATATCTGTGCTATGCAAAAATAGCCATCCATTTATTTTTAAATATTTTACTTCCATTTTAATCACAGTTTAAACTGATAATCTGATAGAATTGACAAAGCAGAGTTCAAAAGTTTGGGGGTAAAACGTTAGAGCTACTCCTACCCTAAAGAACAATAAATCCAATATCTAAGAAAGCCATGGCATCTACTTCTCTGTCAGTCACTGTTTCATACATGATAGAAAAGTATCAGTGCAGTCCTGAAAAGCACTATTGAAAGTCACAAGTTAGTCAGTGTCTAATTTTGTCCTCTGAATTTATTATTCTTAACGATACTTTGATGCTGCCATTCATGTAGCATTGCTTGAAAGAGGAAAGTCCCAACTGAGCAAACACATGTTGTTGTTGTTAAGTGCCATCAAGTCAGATCAAGAAAACACATATTGATTGTGCATCAAAAGACTTCACCAAAAGAGTTAAAAGGGAACCCACAGAATGGGGGAAAATCTTTTGCAATGACACATCGGACAAGGGACTAATATATAAAATATATGCGAAACTACAACACCACTACAAGAAAAAGAAAGATAACCCAACTAAAAAATGGACACAGGACATGAATAGACACTTCACCAAAGAGGAGATCCGGGCAGCCAACAAACATATGAAGAAATTTTCACGATCACTAGCCATTAGAGAGATGCAAATCAAAATAACAATGAGATATCATCTCATACCAACAATAACAGCAAAAATTAAAAAAAAAAAAAAAAAGTAGAGGACAATAAATACTGGCGAGGATGCAGAGAGGCTGGGACCCTCCTACATTGCTGGTGAGATTGCAAAATGGTCCAACCACTCTGGAAAGCAATATGGTGCTTCCTCAGAAGGTTGGAAATAGAAATACCTTATGATCCAGCAATTTCTCTACTTGGTATGCAATAGCAAAAAAGATGGAGACAGTCTAAGTGCCCATCATTGGAAAAATGGGTAAACAAACTATGTTACATATAAACAATGGAATATTATGCTACCTTGAAGAATAATAAGGAAGCTGCAAGCCACCGCATGACATGGATGAACCTTGAGGACATTATGGTGAGTAAAATTAGTCAGTCACAAGAGGAGAAATGCTGCATAGGACCATTATTGCAAAAGATTAAGAAAAAGAACCCACCCTAAAAAGGGGGGAAAAAAATCTTTGCTGATCCCCGGGATGTATGGGGTGGGGTGAGGGGAGGGAGGGGAAAATGGAGCACAGAGTAGGGAATAGACACAGGGTAACTTGGGTGCTGGTGGGGGTGGCAATACACAAGAAGGGGTAAGGGGATGGAAGAACAAGGCAGATGAGAGAACAGTTAGGCAGGTTTGCATGAATTAAGTGGGACAGAGGTAAATAATGATGTATGCACAACCTTGGAACAACAGGGCTCTGGGATACAGGGATTGAGGCACTGTTTGAATGGGTAAAAGAGGAGAAATAATGTTAAGATGCTTGACTGTCTTTTGAATCTTGGTTTCCCTTGTCTACCAACAGACACTTGCTGGGGAGAGAAAGGAATAGCCAGTAACATCACAATAGAGAGTTTGTAAGTCCGTCTTCAGCCTACAACTGATTGGAACACCTAGAAGGGGGCTACAACATGCCCAGTGCTTCCTGTGGAGCCTTTGCCTTGCACAAGTTCATAAGTGGAATCCTGAACCCCCACCCAGAATCTTCTGAGGTGGGAACTTTCCACTTGAAAGGACAAGCAGACTAGCCTGGAGCTGCTAGAACAGAAGATACTTCTAAAAAGAAAGAATGGCAAGAAAAATCAAAATAACAGCAGTCTGATAGAGTACTACAAGAACAAGCAAGCTGTTCACCTGGCAGCCATCAAGGCAAGTAGTCAAAGCAAAGACTAAAACTCAAGGGGAGTACACCAGCAGGCATGTGATCTGGCTGGTGACCATGTTGGTCACAGATAAGGAAAAGTGGGGGGAAACAGCAATGGAATTGTGAGCTAAGTCTGACCATGTTCAATAGACTCCTGTGAACCTGGGTTGAGACCCGGTTGGCCAGCAGTATGGCAAGACCCAGGGACTCCTGCACCCAGAGACAGTGACATTACCACAGAGGACTAGAGGACAGAGTGAAGCGTGCAGCTGATGTGAAGTGAGGGGAGATGCACAAGAACACCCATACTTGCAGATAGTACCCACTTGACCTAACTTAAATGGCTGGATGATCTGAACTTGACTAGAAGAAGCAAGAAGAGGAAAAAAAGACTAATCTGCTACAATTTGAGGACCTATACTTTAGCATAGTGGTTATCAATCAGGCTGTGAACGGCAAGGTCAGCAGTTCAAAACTACCAGCTGTTCCGCAGAAGAAAGATGAAGTTTTCTGCTCCCATAAAGATTTACAGCCTCGGAAACCCTGTACAGGGTTGCTATGAGTTGGAACTGACTCCATGGCACATAACCACTACTACCACTTATGGATGTAGTAGCTCAAAAGAAGAACAAATCTTTACAGTGAGGATCATTCTATCCCCTCGGTGCACAGGGTTGACAGGGATGGGCAATTTAGACATTGGTTACACAAAATGGTAGTGGGGGGCGGGGGAAGTACAAAGGCAAGAAGTGACTGGCTTACAAGCTTTCAAGAGGGAGCCTAGTTCCAGAGGGTACAGGGCAAGGTAGAATCTCCACTGAGTGGTTTCCAATCTGTTGGGACAGGGCTGATGAAAGGCGATGGGGATAAGAATCTTGTGGCATAATAGTGAATAATCGCTATCAGGACTGAATGTGAGGGTCAGAAATGTAAATGGAGATGTTTTGTAACAAAAGGAGAGGAGTGGTTGACTTTGCAGTCCAGGAGCAGAGGTTCCTAGAACCATCAAGTGAGAAGTACGGACCCTTCTCAGAGAAGCGGGACCCTCAGAGTGTGGGACCCTACTCAGAGAAGCAGTGACACCAGAGATGGAGGCAGAGATGATGACATGGAGAGATAGAGCAGCTGGGGATTCTGGACTCAGGAAGGTAGAGGGGCTGTGGGCTGATGGCTGGGGGGCAGGCTTGCGGGGTGTATCCTTTGGTTGTTTGATGATGCATGGAGGGGATTGTAATCATAGCAATGAAACGAAATAAGATGAATGTAAAGCTGGTGTTCTCCCATGTAAACTATCACATAATTCACAATAAAAAATATATATATATAAAGAAAATAAAACACATATTGGTAACTTAATAATACCAACTGTAGACATTAAAATTTTAAATGAGCAATTAAATCAGATGTCTCAATACAATGGGAATGTTATAAACAGAGGGATCAAATAATGATCTAAATCAACGTTTAATGTCATTAAGGAAAAACAGGCTTATTCAACAATGAATTATACTCTACATTATATATAGCTATGTTTATTCTTTTAAAATATTATTTCAAACTTCATTTGAAACAAATATATGATAGTAAATCCAAAAGTATTGCTAGTAGGATCTCAGATTTATATATGCAAAGATTTATTCCAAAGAAAATATGTTAAATATGTATGTCTCTGATCAGTGAATGGTTGCTGACTAGTTGAATCAGTGATACACTTATTTTAGTCTTGTTAAGATGCCTTCAAAAAAAAAAAAAAGGTGTAATCAAGACAGTGGTTTTCAAAGCGGTCTGCTAGGCAAGTGAAACTCAAAGCAGAGAGATCAACGCAGAAGGCTATGCTAACTGTTTTTCAGATTCCTAAGGGTCGCTATGGGTCGGAACCAACTCGACGGCACTTAACAACAACAACAACAAGGGATCATTTTGATAGATTTTCTCAAGGACACAGGATGATCACTTGGGCTTATTATGAGGATGTTTTAAGAAAACAGAAAGCTGCTTTGATGTGGAAAAACAAAACAGGAAAGTTGCAGTGAGAAAAAAACAAACATTTTTTGCCATCACAAGAATGCACCTGATCATTCTTTGAGGGTAGCAAGGGCTGTCATACAAGAATTTCATAGGAAACATTATCCCATACATCCTATAGCCTTGATCTTGCCCTTTAGGCTTCCTTTCAAAGAATACTTATGATCTTAGTCTCTCAAGGATGCCCAAACTGTCATTTAGGTATTGTGTAAATTAAAGAGCACAAAATTCTTTGGCAAGGGTTAGAGAGATGGAAATACTGACTTCAGAAGTGTATCAAACTAGATGGAGGAGATGTCAAGAAATGTTAGCTTCACATTTTCATGTATTTGTTTAATAAAGCTTTCGATGATTTTTATAGCTATAAGTTTGTTTTTTTTTTTACTTAACCTGGTACTAACAAAAAAAAATATTCCATCTAGCACTTTAATTTTTAATAACAGAGCTAAAATAAATGATCATTTAGAAACCAAGGCTATTTTGAATTACTGTGGTTTCCCTTAGCTCAATAGTTATTAGGGAAAGGAGTAAATGAGCTTAAAATACTTATCTACCAGATTAAGAAGTCAATCTAAAATAGATTAATCACAGCAGGGCAGAACAAAGTTGTTTGTTTTTTCTTGTTGTTTTTTTAAGAAAACTAGAGGTAAATACTAGAAGGAATTGTTTTTAATAAAGAAAGAAAGAAAAAAAAAAAGAACAAGGACAGGGGTGGGAGTAAAGATGAGCAGAACAAAGAGAAATTGTTTTTGTTTAAAAAAAAAAAAATTCAAGACCCAAACACTATTTACATCTTTAACCTATTTATATAAAATACTTAGATACAATACAAATTATTTAAAAATACCCTACCATATTCTTGGAGTCCTGGTGTTGTGCTGGACTGCAAGGTCGGTTTGAACTGCCACTCCTGGGATATCCTATAAAGGGTCACTATGGGTCGGAACCAACTCAACGGCACTTAACAACAACAACAACAACATCATATTCTTAGGAGTCCTAGTGTGGTGCTGTGGGTTAATGTGCTGGACTGAAAAGTCGATTTGAACAGTAAGGTTGGAGTTCAAGCTCATCAGCCACTCCTCGGAAACCCTACAGGGTCACTGTGGATCGGAACTGACCCAATGGCACTTAACAACATCATCATCATCATCATCTTGGAGTCCTGGTGGGGTGCTGTAGGATAAGCACTTGACTGAAAGTTTGGTTTGAACCACAAGGTTGGCAGTTCAAACTCACCAGCCACTCTCGGAAACCCTATACAAAGTTGCTATGAGTTAGAACCTACTGAACTGGCACTTAATAGCAGTAACCATCTTATTAGAACATCAGCATATCTCTAATCATTCTTTTCCCCTTGGGATTTTATTTTATAATATTAAAGTCTAAGTTCTTGAGTAAAACAAATTGTTGCTGATTTTTTAACATTTTAAGAAACATGGATCCTTCAAATTCTTTCATCAAATTTGTACTTTTACAAATAAATTAAAACATTTAACAGGTATTCTTATACCAACCTGACGGACTGTATCTGCTTTCAGACATCATAGATTCCATATTATCCATGGGATCATTTTCAACTGAAAATTCTTCAGTTTCATCATCTTCAATTAGATTGTCTTCATCCAGTAGCTGCTTGGGATGTGATAGTTCTGTTTTCTTTGCAATACTCTGGAAGTTCCAAGAATTGTCAAAATTATATAAGAACTTTTTAAAATATGGTAAGTTATCAGAATCATCTATTTGCTGTAAGACTTCTTTTTGGTCTGTTTGATCTTCAGTTTCCAAAACTTTTATTATTTCTCTTTCTTGTTCCTTATCAGGGCCAAATTCATTTGCTAGAGGGTGCTCATGTTTATTGTCTCTACCTCCTTCTTCAGTTTTTCTATCATATGATACAGTCTGATCTTCCTTGGCGTATGCAAAGCCTAACATACCAAAACCAAAATCAAACCAATTTGACTTGAGAATGGAGCTATCATTAGTAATTGGGTCTTTTTTTTCTAACATTTCTGTACATGGAACTGTAGGTTCTTCATCAGATGATAGGGGATTGGTAACATCTTGTAGTGGTTGATTACCTTCTTTGGACAATAATTCAATCTCTGAATCCTCATTTCCAAAACCTAAGTAATTTGTAAATCCACCACCAAACCAGCCAGTGGCTTGAGGTTTCAGATTGTGGTCAAATTCTGATGCAGGTTCTTGCTTGTGTTCTGTTTGAGGCTCATCATTATGTAATTCCTCTAAGTCATTCTCTTTTACCACTACTATTTTTCTACTTTGTAATGAGTTTCCTTGCAGAGGTTCATTAACTAATTCAATGAGTTTTCCTTCAGCTCGTTCCCTTCTTAATCCAAACCACCCTTTCACTTCAGGTACTGCTAAAGATGGTGGGGCATGATCCACTTCTGAAATTTGATTTTGGACTTCTTCATCAACAATATCCTGTTCTACACTTCTAGCTTCTACTTCTTCCCAGTCTGTTAATTCGGTGGTACTTCTGATCTCATCTGCTAGAAACTGGTCTTCTAGCAAAGTGCTTTCAGAAGTTACATAAAATTCAGATTCTATGTGAAAATCACTTTCATATTCTCTAGATTTTTGGTCTTCATCTTCGTCATATGGATGTGTAGTTCCATAGCTATCACTGTTTAGTTCACTATCTTCATTTTCAAATATGTAACTTACTCCAAGAAGACAAAGAAAGTCAGACTCCTAAAAAAAAGAAACATTATGATTGACATAAATGTACTGAAATTCCTTGTTTCTCCCTAAATCAGTTAAAATGGATTATTGTGGTTTTCTTAAGACCACACAATTAGCTCAGCAGTAAAGCAAAAAACAAAATCACATCTTCCAGTCGCAAACACTTTTTCCCCCAAGGCTTAATGATATAAATTTAAATTTAAATCTGTTTGCATTATGGTTTCTTTGTTATCAGATAGCTGAAGAACTTGAGAAGCAGAGACAATCAATGCTTTGAGCATGTTCTACAAATAACTCTGAGGAAAATGCATACATGTCCACAAACGTTATATCTCCTAAGTCCCTTATGCAGAGCAGACACATTCATTTGTGTGAAGATTTGCCGCAGAGAATTTTCAGAGCACATAGTCACATGGATAAATGCATTCACAGCTCAGACAGACCAGACACTCTTGTGGCATGAAGGTCTGGTTAGAATTTGTACTCAAATATTTAGACTCTTTTATTGAGGTCTGTTAGCGGAGGTAGGGATCCAATTGTTGATCTCATTTAACAATTAAATCATCATAAACGTGGCAAGGGCTTTTTTTTTTTAAAGCTGAAGGTTAAAAACAGTAATGCACTTTAGATATCACCATTATGAAATGAGAATAAAGATCACATTTTAAAAAATTAACTTAAATGAAATGCAGATGGGGCTCTTGTGATACAATAGTGAATAATTGTTATCAGGACTGATTGTGAGGGTTGGAAATGTAAAGGTAGACGTTTTATAGCAAGGAGGGGAGTGATTAACTTTTCAGTCTAGGAGTGGAGGTCCCTAGGACCATCAAGGGAGAAGAGCAGAGAGAGGGACCCTACCAGAGAAGCAGTGATGCCTTAAATGGAGGCAGAGATGATGACGTGGAGCGATGGAGCAGCTGGAGACTTTAGATCCAGAGAGGGAGAGTGACTGTGTGATGAAGACTTGGGGGGTATGAGGGAAGGATTGCAGGGTATACCCTTTGGTTGGTTGATGATGCATGGAGGGGATTGTAACCATGGCAATGAGACGATATATGATGGAATGAATGTAAAACTAATGTTCTCCCATGTAAACTATCATATAAATCACAATAAAACATTTAAGAAAAAAAATTAACAATTACAATTTTACCACTTTTTTATTCTGCAGTATAGTAGGTGATTAACAACAGACTCTGGAATCAAATCCCCTGGGCTCAAATCTCAAGCCTTCTACCTACTAGTTTTGTGACCCTGGGTGAATTTTCTATTCCTGAGTTTCCTCATCTATGAAATGGCAATAATGATAGTACACATCTCACAAGGTTCTTGTGAGAATTAAATGAGTCAATACTTAGAATAGTAACTGTCTCTAGTAAACACTAGGCCACTGTAGTCCAAGGTTACACCTCCTCAGAAGGCTTAATCCTTTTGCCTTTATTCCAGACAATTCTGAAGGGTCATCCGAGCTTCAGAGCTCCTTATGAGATGCACTACAACTGCATCACAGTTGAACAGTTCTTTCTGTCTAATCCTATTGTTTGTTTCCTTATAGGAGCTAGTTCCAAGAGTACTCCCTAGTAAGATTTGGAAGCAAAGGGCAGTCTCAGAATCCATTTCCCAGGAAACCAGAACATAGGTTTTGGGACTTCTGCATGCTTACTAGGTGTCTGGCCCTTTGTAAGGAGTCTACAGTAAATAGGGAAAAAAAGTAATTATAAATTGTGTAAGTTGTTCTTGTTAAGTGCCATCAAAGTTAGTTCTGACTCATATCAACCCTGTTTACAGCTCCAGAGAATGACTAGTAGGGTTAAACCACAGTCCAGTGTTTATCCTACAGTGCCACACAAAGTTGTAGGAATAAATACCAACCAGATGCATTTATTCCCAGTTCCATGGGAACATGCTGTAACAGTTGGTTTCCCTTGGAAACCCTATGGGACTGTTCTATTATACAGTCTTATTAGGTTGCTGCTATGGAAGGTATGGAGTAAACAGGAAACTATGGTGGTCATGGTTGTGTACCATTGAGTCAATTTTGGCTCACAGTGACCCTGTATAGAGTTTCTGAGGCTGCAAATATTTATGGGAGCAGAAAGTCTCATCTTTATCCTGAGAAGTGGCTGGTGAATTCGAACTGCCAATTTTGTAGTTAGCAGCCCAACTCCTAAACCACTACAATACCAGGGCTCCTATGATAGAGATGCAATCATTACTTTGGAATCATCATGGAAGGCTCTCTAAGATAGTGATGTCTATGCTGTGACCTAAAGGATCAGAAGGGGCTAGTCAAGTGGAAAACAGCATGCCAACTAAAGGGAACAGCCTGTTTGAGTCTCTGGACTGGAAAAGAGCTTGGCATGTTCTAACAATAGTCACAAGGTCAGTGTGGCTATGAGTGTCATGAGTGAGGGAAGAGTGGCACTAGACTGAGTCAGCAAGGGGACCAGGAGTAGATCATACAGGACCTGTGAGGCCACAGTAAGGAGTCTGGGTTTTATTCTATTCAAGGGTTTTAACCAAGGAAAGACATGATCTGATTTTTTGTTTATGTTTTTACAAGATTTGTTGCTGTTTGAAGACGTGTTGGAAGAAGGCAGTGTTGAGACAAGGAGACCAGTTGTTGTTGTTAAGTGCTGTCAAGTTGGTTCTGACACATAGCAACTCTGAAAAGGGCTTCCAAGGAGCAGCTGGTGGGTTTGAATTGCCGACCTTGTGGTTCGCAGTCCAGTGCTGATCCTACAGGAGTCCTAGGAGACCAGCTGTTGTTGTTCAATGCTGTGGAGTCAGTTCCAACTCATAGTGATCCTGTATAGTGACTGGAGACCAGTTAGAAGGCTATTATAGAATTCTAATCATGCGATAAAGGAGCATAGTGGAGCAGGACTGCTAAATGCAAGGCCAGCATTTCAAATCTATAGTCGCTCTGTGAGGAGAAAGATGTAGCTGTCTGCTCTCATAAAGATTTACAGTCTTGGAAACTGTATACAGGCTTGATATGAGTCAGAACTGACTCATACACAAGTGGCACACAACTGCCAACAATCAAGAGATGATGGTGCCTTGGATTAGAGCTCTGGTAAGAGTGACAATGGAGAGAAGACAATATATATGTATTGAAGACAGACATATTTTGGAGTTATAGAACTGACAGACCAATTATTATACAGTAAATAGACTGTTAATCCCAGAATTTTAGGAGAAAAGCCAGATAAAAATTTGTTCAACTAGGTAGAATTACTTCACACTGACCTCATTTACGGTAAATTGGCTTAACTTGGAATCTGAATTAAGTAGGTTAATCAAGTACACATATTGAAATGTCCACTTCTGATTCCCCTTTTCACTATCAAGTCCAGCATAAGAAGCTCAACATTAATTATCAAGCTCAAGAAAAATTCAAACATCAAAAGAAGTTGTTCAGATATAAAATATCTAGAGAGTGTGGTGGGGGTGGGTGGGGGGCAAGATGGTCCCAATAGGACCAAAACATTAGTAATAATATATAATACTTATATGTTGTGCTATTGTTAAGTGCCATTGAGTCAATTCCAACTCCTAGTAACCCTATATAGGGTTTCTCAGACTATAAATGTTACATAGCGCTTACATGTATTTACTTATTTGTTTGATGTAGTACATGAATTTACTTATTTACTTAATAAATTTACGAGGCAGCTCCCTAACTTTACAGCTAAGGAAACTGAGGCACACAAGGCCACATAACTAGAAAGTGGGTAAGGCAGGTCTGGAACTCAGACAGCCCACCTCCAGAATCCATTCTCTTATCCACTACGCTTTATTTTCTGTTAATTGTTCAGAAAACAAAATCCTTACCTGTCACCAATTTTGTCTTAGCCAAGAAATTTTAAGATCAAATAATAACTGAAAATGAGTTTACTTACTTTAGTTGCTACTTGAACTTCCTCTGATATGAACACCTCTTCAACTTGGACTGCATCTCTGGGAAAATATCCAAAATCTTTTCCTTTCTATCAAAATGAAGAAAAAATATGATTGAGGAAAAGAGATCAAAACAATGACTACTAAGCCTAATTTTTGTCCCATGTTCTTGGCTTTCATTTACTTCAAATCACAAGTATTAGTTGACTTTCAATTGTCCTCTAGAAGAAAGTGAGTAAAATCACATGCCTCTTGCTCTTCCAAAAAACAGCATTAAGGACACAAAGAGCCAAGTTCTAAAATGTCACTTTCTTAAACTCCAGAAGAAAAACCTTCGTACATATGCAGTTTCTTCCTTTTACTGTCTCTTTATGAGCCTCTGTGTGGACCACAGATTTGCACTGATAGGTCGTAGGCTTCAATAGGTAAGGCAATGACAGTAGTAGCCAAGCTAGATGAAACTATCACATACTCAACATTTTCAAGGTATCAAAATCAGCTAAAAGGCTTAAACTCTAAATGGGCCACAGCTGGGTTCATCAGTATAGTTACAGCCCACAAACCCTTCAGGGAGAATTTGGCTCCATTTAACTTCTCTGGAACAACATTGGTAACAGAAATACTCCACTTAGGTACATGTAGAATGTCCACCACAAGAGTGAGGGCTGCACACAGTCACTCACAGGTCCATTTCATATTCCTGTCAAAGTTTTAAAAAATAACAACAACGCACATTCCTTTGGCCCAGAATCATTACCCTTAAATTATGTTTCTTGGAGCTCCCTGGTTGCTGTAACTATTTGGAAATTACCTGTGGGTGGACTCCACAAGATAATTCTTATCTGCATGGACTAAACACCTAATGTCCCTAAATGAGTGTTTCTGAAACTTCACCCCTCCTCCACATTTTAAACACTGCTGTGACTAACTATACTTTTCATACAGAGTAAAAAAGGAAGAATGCTGTGTTTACCTCAAATGGCACCAGTAGTGTCATTTTTCTTAGAGCTGCATTGGAAACTTCCATTGAAGACATATACTAGCATATATAAGGCACCTCTAAGCAATAAGACAGTCAGAAGCTTAAGAGGTCAGGAAAACAACCCTGGCCAATGACAGTCAGAGATCATACAGCTATACTGGGAAAAAGCAGGGTTTCAAAGAGAATCTGCTCTTTCAGTGACCACAGTAGCCATACAAAAGAGAGATCGGATATATATATATGCAATATGAAATGATGTATCTATTACTCTAGGCATACTTGTTCAGCTTGGGATTAATATCATGTATCACAGCATCAGATACAAACCTATCTGCAACTGAAAAAAATTAATCATTAATTTTCCTATATTGTATCTTCAGATGACTCAGTCTTTTAGGAATTTCAACATACTAGGACTTTGGATTAATAAAAGGTTCTCCCAGTTGTTGTTGTTGTTGTTTTCTATGACAGATTCATACACCAGCTTCCTACGGTACTAACCTTTCTGAGAATCACTTCAATAACAACTCAGCCCTTTATTTGCTCAGAAAGATATGTCATTTAAACTGAGTAAGTAACATTTAAGACTAGATACTTACACTTCCTGCCCACAAATCTTCCCTTTCTCCTGCAAGTTTAACATAAACAGATATCTCTTCTCCCTTAGTGAAGTTCAGGTATCGACAGTCAGGTCCTCTGTAATCTTGTGTGGCTAAGACTCTGCTTATTAAAGCTATGTAAACAAGTAAAGAAAACATATACTGTAAATTAAAATGTCAATTATAATTTTCTTCTAGCTTTAGCTCCTCAAACCCATCCTATATATTTCCAAATACTGACCTCCTTATATCATGTATGGCCTTAAAAACCTACATAGACTTCTTGTCACATATAGTATCAAGTCTAAGCTCTTAGTTTGGTATTCAAGGCTGTCCTATATAAAAGTGTCTCCTCTTTTACACATCTCAGGGCTACAGTCAGGCTCACCTATCTATCATCTCTAGAATATGCTATATTCTAGTTTGTACGGTAGGGAAGGTAATGATGATTAGTTCGCTTCCTGGTACCTACTGTATTCTGACTCAATTATTATTATTATTAAGTAATCTTATCTCAGTCTAACAAATGAGGCTTTAACTAACTAAGGCTAAGAGAGTTGTTTACACAACTGATGAATAAAATTACTCCATTCTCATGGACTATCTTGTTACTCAACATTTTGCATCTATGACAACTTTGAAAAATTTCTCAGAAGGCAGCCCTCATTGTCTGGACCCCACATGGGGGTCACCTTTGGGACCCATCCAGATGATATCCTGGAGGCCCCAGTGATGGCTGGACCACACCAGGAGCAGTAGCCAACGAACTCGAGACACCTTCTCCTATTTGTCTTCAATGTCTTGTTCTAGAGACAGAAGATGCAGGGCAACAGCAGGATGACAAGAGGTCACAGGTGAACAAGGAGAAGGCCAAACGTGGACCCAGAGAGGCTTGGGAGGTCAATAGGGGGAGTTGGAAAGTTGGCACATAACAACAACAGCAGCAACAACATCACAGGGCCAAGGTGAAGGAGGACAAGTGGAGTCCCTACCCAGGGTGGGCACCAGGAAGTAGCAGGTGACAGGCAATGCCCCACCACCACCACCATCACTCCCAACCGTCGAAGGCTCCATGGTGGTCAAGAAGTTCCCCCTACCAATACCACATGCATTGGGAAAGCACCAGGGATTCAAGCGCAGAGTAAGGGAGGGAGAAGTGCACTGGTGTTTAAAAGGGTGTGACCCTGATACTCACATAACACCAATTTCACATAACAACCTGGTCTTTGAAACCCAACCCATGTTTATAAGTAAGGAATGGGTATAGTGTAGACAGATTTTTTCTATAGCAACATTCACTTTCCTTATTCTGAGGGCTTACTTCTGCTCTTTCTTAAGTCTAGAAACACTTCCATCACTCTTCATGGTCCATCCAAGTCTTACTCTATGTGACATCCCTAATCATTCCCGCCAATTCTGATTGCTCTTTCTCTGAATTTCAGTATTACCTTTTATTTTTACTACATCATGTCACTATTTAGCTGTTTCATGTTTTGTCATCATTCACTAGAATAAAAATTCATTGAGGGTAAGAGCCTTATTTTGCATTTCATTTTATTCATCTTAGATGCAAACCACCCATCCTTAATATCAGCACATAGTTATTGTTGTTGTTATGTTGTCATTGAGTCAGTTCTAACGCATAGTGACCCTGTAGAGAGTTTCCAAGAAGTGACTGGTGGATTTGAGATGCTAGCGTTGCAGTTAGCAGTCCAATGCTTATCCTACAGTGCCACACCAGCAAATAGTAGGACTTTAATTATTATGAAAGAACCATAACCAAATATGCAGAGTTAATACATAAGATAATATGTGTCTTATTAACTATTATTATGTATAAAATATTTTTATAAAGTCACACAATTAAAATAACATTCTGTTATAAATTTGAATGTTCCAGTAATTATCATAAAACATAGTATAGTATATATTTTTGCAATTGTGATATAACATTTATGTGTAAGAACTACTTGTAGTAATAAAGAATTTGAGAAGTCATGCTTTTAGATATAGTAGCCTAAAAATAGAGAGTATTGATTTCTAGGAGTAAATTTCACAAACTCAGTATAATAAGTGTGTCTATATTTTGAAATGAAACTTACATCAAGGCTACCTATAAAATAAAATAAACATCTGTTCTCTCTTTAAAAAAAAATTATAAAGTAAACCTTCTCTCTATATTAAATCATACCAAAAGAACAATCTTCCTCAACAATTTCATTTTAAGATTATTTATATTTATACTAATAATACATCACATTTTTAAATTGCATGTTGCACATTTGAAATAATTCTTACATATTGGAGATACAAAATTTATTTAAAGCATCTTTAATATATTGAGATGCAATTTATATTACAATGCTACCAACTCATAGCAGTCCTGCATACGATTTCAGAGGCGGTAAATCTTTACAGGAGCAGAAAGCCTCATCTTTCTTCTGCGGAACAGCTGATTGTTTCAGACTGCTGCCCAACTCGTAACCACTACACTACCAGAGCTCCATATATATTCCTAATATTGATTTCCAGGGACCCTGGTGGTACAGCGGTTAAGACTAAGCTGCTAATCAAAATGCTAACATTTCAAACCCACCAGCAACTGTGCAGGAGATTAGACCTAGAGATCAGCTTCCATAAAGATTTCAGTATAGGAAATCCTCTGGGGCATTCTACTCTGCCCAAAAGAGACACTATGGGTCCAAATATGCTCAACAGCGCACAACAACAACAATACTGATATCATTATTTTTACAAAATAAGTGAATTCAGAATTTATTACTATGCAATCAAGTTTAGACACAATAATGATGGTTTGGAATAAAAACATGTTTTGAGAACAGGAAAATTCTGATTGTGAAATAGAAACTAAAAACTAAGGACTTTATAAGTAAAGTACTATCACCAGCCTGTTCATACCAATCGATTACATTTCTTTTTAAAGAACAGTAAAAGGGCTAATTAATTTGCTTATTATTATTTTTATGGAACAATTTCATTATGTTTACTGACATTTATATATCGGGCTAATCTTTTCCCCTTTCTATAATTATATTAAATACGATAAATGTTTTTTTTTTTTCTAGCATCTTCTCTTTATTCTGAGCTATACTTTTTGAATGAAAATATTTTTCAACGATATTAATACTTATTCTTATGCACATCCACAATTTAAATGTATGTCATTTCAGAGCCTCAACTTAAAAGGAAGAAAAAAGTAAACTTACTTTCACATTCCAAGTCACCACATTTTTTAAGGTCTGCCAACCATTTTGTACTCTCCAGACTTTTTGTCAAAGTAAGAACCAGAAGAAGGATTCTGTGAACTCCAAGATCCACCATGCTGAAATGAAGAACCGGGAATCCAAAATTCTATTTTAAATGATTTTTTAGGTTGTAGATATGCAAACCAAGACAGAAGATACCCAATTCTCTTCACTGACTATAAGAAAAAAATATTTTGAGTTGTTTTGCCCTTTTTTAAATTCCTTGATAATTACATTTTCTCTCTGTTTTTAGTCTTAACTAGAGGGAGAAATACTCGCTGTTCTCAATCTGCAGTGTCAGGTATCCAGATAATACATAAGAGTTTAATAATTAACAGAGTTTTAGTTGGACTAATGTCTTTACAAAGATGGCCCACGTAAAGCTGTTTCACTTAAAGGCGCCTTGCACACAGCAGGCTACGTCTTAAGCAGGCCTCCACAAAAATGAACTCTCTTCCTACTGAAGTCTTAGGAAAGTCAGTTAACAAGTAAAATTTGAGTATGCCCTTCATGCAAATACCAGCATCAGTGGAGAAACTTGTATGTGGTTATTTGTAGAAACAGCAATCATTTACGTTAAAGCCCAGTTTCTGAAATACCATGTTAAAAGTTATTTGAAAAAGTACCACCACTTTTGTATTTAAAAACTCTTCAGTGTTACTATGAAGCTGAAACATGTGTTTCCTTAAGAATAATAGTTAAAATGTATTAAATACTAACTTTCAGATATTGTTTTTAAGTGCTAAAGTACTGTTTTAAGTGGATTTCATTTAACCCTCATACTATCATCTCCAGTTTTTCATCTGAGGAAACTGAAGCACATAGAAATTGGTTAAGTCACCTGCTCAATGTCATTCAGTGAGTTGTTGTTGTTGTTAGGTGCCATTGAATCAGCTCTGATTCATTTGAACTTATGCACAACTGAACGAAACACTGCCCGATCCTGCACCATCCTCAAAATTGTTATGCTTGAGCCCATTGCTGCTGCCACTGTGTCAACATACTTGGTTAGGAGTCTTACAGTGACTCTGGGTATACCTTCCAATTTCTTTTGATCCTTTCTGCATCATTCAATATTTTGCCTATGGAATCCTCCAATGTTGCCACCAGAGGCTTGAATTTTTTCTTAATTTCTTTCATCTTGAGAATTGCTGAATGTGTTCTTTCCCTTTGGTTTTCTAACTCCAGATCTTTGCACATTTCATTATAATACTTGACTTTGTCTTCTCACACAGCCCCTTGAAAATTTCTGTTCAGCTTTCTTTCTTCCATTTGCTTTAGCATCTCTACAAATTTCAGAATCTCTTCTGACATCCATTTTGGAATTTTATTTCCTCCTTGTCTTTTAATGACCTTTTTACTTTCTTCCTCTATAATTTTCTTAATGTCATCTCACAGCTCTTCTGATCTTTGGTCATTAGTGTGCAAGGTATGAAATCTGTTCTTAAGATGATCTCTAAATTCAGGTGGGATATATTCAAGGTCATATTTTGACTTGTGTGGACTTGTTTTAATTATCTTCAGCTTCAGCCCAAACTTGCAATATGAGCAACTGATGGTCTGTTCCAGTCTAACCCGCCCTTATCTTGGCTAATGATAAGAGCTTTTCCAACATCTATTCCAACACATATAGTCAATTTGATTGCTGTGTATTATAACTGGTGAGATACTTGTATATAGTTATCTTTTATGTTGTTTAAAAATGGTATTGTTGTTGTTGTTAAGTCCTGTCGAGTCAGTTCCAACCCATAGTCACCCTGTATAGGGTTTCCAAGGAGCAGCTGGTGAACTTGAACCACCGACCTTGCAGTTCAAATGGCTTTGCAGTCTGGCGCATTAACCTACAGCACCAGTGAATAAATCATTGGTCTTGTAAAATTCCATCCTGTGATCTCCAGCATCATTTCTATCACCAAGGCTATATTTTCCAACTACCAATCCTTTCTCTCTGTTTCTAACCTTGGCATTCCAATCAACAGTAATTACTAATACATCTTGATTATAAGTTTGATCAATTTTAGACTGAAGAAGTTGGTAGAATTCTTCAGTTTCATTATCAGTGGCTTTAGTTATTGGTGCATACATTTGTATGATACTGGTATTAACTGGTTTTCCTTGTAGGCGTATGTACAGTCAGCATTGTACTTCAAGATAGATCTTGATGTGTAACTAACAGGGGGAGTAGTTAATCTTTCATTTCAGGAACAATCACAGGATCATCAAAAAGGAAGTGCATGAGTGAAGAATGAGCTCCCTACCTAGAAACGTGGCAATGGCAGAGATGGTGTCAGAGGTTGTGGCATGAAGAAACAGAGCAGTTGTGGGTTCTAGGCCCATGGAATGAGTAAGGCTGTCTGCCTATGGACAGGAGACTGACCTGCATAATGTGCCCCTTGGACATTTAAATGAATATATTTTTTGTTTAGTTTTGTATGTGTGCATCAAATATTTTTGCTTTGTTCATTCATAAAATATAAGATGTAAATGGGGAACCACAAGGAGGAAGTAGGATAACTATTGTTGTAGGGAGGTGATTGTAATCATTGAGATGAAACAAAGTGTATGATTTATTGTTCATAAAAACAATGATCTTGTCTGTAAGCCTTCAATCAAGTCACAATAAAAAGTTTTAAAATTAATTAATTAATTAATTAAAAGATAGATCTTGAAGTATTCTTTTTGATGCTGAATGCAATGCCTTTCCTTTTCAATTTGTCATTCCCAGCATAGTAAACAATACAAATTTCAGTTTCAAGATATCCAGTCCCAGTCCATTTAAGCTCACTAATGCCTAGGTATTGAACTTTATGTATCCCATTACATTTTTGACAACTTTCAATTTCCTAGATTCATACTTCATACATTCCATGTTCCTATTATTAATGGGTGTTTGCAGCTGTTTCTCATTTTGAGTTGTGCCCCATCAGCAAATGAAAGTCCCAATAGCTTTTCTCCATTTGTCTCATCATGGTCAACTCTACTTTAAAGAGGCAACTCTTCTTCAGTCATACTGTGAGTGTCTTCCAACCTGAGGGGCTCATCTTCTGGCACTACATCTGACAGTATTCTGCTGCTGTTCCTAAGGTTTTCAGTGGCTAAACAGTCAGAAGCAGTCCGCCACTTCTTTTTACTAGTCGCTTTTAGTCTGGAAGCTCAGCTGAAGCCTGTCTACAATGGTTGACCTTGCTGGTATTTAAAATATCTGTGTGTTAGCTTCTAGCTTCACAGCAACATCCAAGCCACCATAGTACAACAAACTGAAAGACAAGTAGTGGTATCCAGTGAGTGTTATTGTTGTTGTTGTTAAATATTGTGGCGTCAGTTACGACTCATAGAGACCCTGTATAGAATTTCTGAGGAGTGACTGGTGGGTTTGAACAACCTTGTGGTTAGCAGTCCAGTGCTTATCCTGCAATACCACAAATTCAAAGCTAGGCACAGTGACTTCCTATGCTCTGAACCACTGTGCTTTGCCACCAAGAATCAAGTTATCTGCCAAGAAAGCTGTCCACTCTGTCTGCAACAATACTGTTCCAGCAATAGCAGACCCAGTATTTTTTCATGTTTCTAAGATTATGTATTTATTTCTGTAAGTGAAGAGGGATTGAGGAGATATGTCTAAAAGAATGCTTCCTAACACTGTAGTGCAGATTTGTATAGTGTGATTTCAGAAAGTATTCACTTTCTTTGCACTTTTCTATATTGTTTGATTTTTTTATCAGTCAGAATGCACATTTTATTTTAAAATAATAGCAAACCAAAAAACAAACCCACTGCCTTTCAGTTGATCCCAACCCATAGCGACCCTATGGGACAAAGCAGAAATGTTCCATTGGGTTTCCAAGACTGTAAATCTTTATGGGAGCACTGAGCGCCTCATCTTCTTTCTCTTACAGATCAGATAGTGTGTTTGAACCATCAACCTTGTAGTTAGCACCCCACCACTTAATCCTCTATGCCACCCATCCACTGCCATTGAGTCCATTCTGACTCATAGTGACCCTGTATAGAGTTTCTGAGGCTGTAAATCTTTACAGGAGCAGAAAGCCTCATCTTTCTCCCACAGAGTGGCTGTTGGGTTTGAAATGCCAACCTTGTGCTTATCAATCCAGTGCTTATCCTATAGTAACACCAGAACTCCTTAAAATGACACCAAGGCTCCTTAAAATAACAGTGGTGGTGGTGGTGATGGTGTGCCTTCAAGTCAGTACCAACTCATAGAGACCTTGTTTCGGGTTTCTGAGGCTATACATCTTTATGGAGCAGAAAGTCTCATCTTTTTCTTGCAGAGCAGCTTGTAGAGTCAAACTGCTGACCTTGCAGTTAGCAGTCCAACATGTAACCCAGTATGCTACCAGAGCTCCTTTAAAATAACAAAAAAGCTATGAAAATCAAGTCATTTGAGTGTTGTTGTTCTTGTTGTTAAGTACTTTGACTAATAGTGATCCTGTATAGGGTTTCCAAGGAGTAGCTGGTGAGTGTGAACCGGAAACCTTGTGGTTCTAACTGACCTTGCAACCAGTGCTTATCCCTTAGTGCCACACCAGGACTCCTGCAGGCTATTGTTGTTGTTGTTGTTATGTGCTGTGGAGTTGATTCCAACTCATAGAGACCCTCTAGAGGGTTTCCGAGGCTGTAAATCTTTATGGGAGCAGAAAGCTTCATCTTTCTCCCATGGAACAGCTGGTAGTTTCGAACTGCTGACCCTGAGGTTAGCAGACCGATTCATAACCACTATGCTACCAGAGTTCCTTATGTATGCTACTACTGCTTAAAAAGAATTGGATCCCTATACTGAAAACTTATGTGCAAAACAAGATCTCAGTAGATTAGAAGAAACCAGTTACCCTATTTCAAACTTAGAAAGTACTTCTTTTCTAAGCCCTGTGAATCATGATGGATCACTTTTATATAACCTTCTCACAGCCTCAAAACTCCCACCAAATGACTGGGTGGGAGTATGCATATGAGTTGTTTGTGGCTCACCAAGAGGATTGGATTTGTTGTTAAAAACCTTTGAGTTGTTCCAACTCATAGCAATCCTGTATAGGGTTTCTGAGAAGCAGTTTGTAGGCT